GGGCAGCATTAGCGCCGTGGAGCGCAAGGACTACCAGGAGACATTCGAGTTCATGGACACGCTGGCCAAGAACCTGGAGGCCGCTCTGGCCAAGAACGCCGCCGCCACCAAGTGACTACCCGGCGCACAGTCGCAGGCCTCGCATCTGTAGGGAACCACTCAGCGAAGCCCCGTCCCCGTCACCATATTCACTACACTTCCATTCGTTTATGTAGATGTGCATGTCCTAGGCTAACTATCCGTGTCCTCGATGCATGTTCCACACTGTTTCATTGTCTCTGCGAGACGCTAAAAAACCCTGATTTCCCCTTAACGTCTAACGGAAAAGAAATTTCAAATAAATGTATTTTTATACTGGACTCGAGAGGTCTTTAACCCAATCGAGGGTGGGCTTGTTACGAGGCCCCAGGTCCACTTGTGCGGCTTCTTGTGGGTCCGGGTTTATTGGATTTGCCAGCGATGTGGCCACAGTCGTGTTTCAACACTTGGCAGCACCACACCGAGAACATTCAAGCGGAAGGGGCTCAGGATCCTGTGAGGAGGGAGAATCTATCGATGCTAGCCGCAGTACTGGGCTATGGCTACCTGGTGGCCTACGTGATCTGCCTGATTTGCTGGCGAGGAGAGGCGTATCCGGCCAGCAATAGCTACCGGGATCTGGATATTTGCAACCACTGGGACGGAAGGCGGCACTTCCTCGAGCTGGGCAGTCCAGCCGGAGAATTACATGCCCGCAATGTTACGACCACAGCCTATCGGGTGAGTTTTTCCACCAGCGGATATCGCAAGGATTGGATCAGAAACAATCAATTACGAAACAGAGCTCACCGCTGGGCTTCAAGAACGATGCAGTGGCGGGGGATGTTTGGTACCAGTGCAGTCTGGAGCTGGTGACCTGTGCCGAATGCGTTATCCGGGTGGCCTTCACCTACGCAAACTTCTCCAAGAGTTGTGGCAATACGGGTGGCAAGTCCAGCATGTGTCCCTGTGAGCACATACAGTTCTCGGAGCCGCCCTACGACTCTACCATTTCCGGTCAGGAGTTCTGTGGCGATGGCAAGGTATTCCGGAGCAAAACCAGGACACTGCAGTTGAAGTTCTTCTACAGGGTCAACAGCGCCCACGTCTTTTCGCTTCAATACTTCTCAGAACGTAAGATAAAGAACTACAAAGCTTAATTTCAATGCAGTTCTACCAAGATTTTCTCCGGAATAGGCAACGTCCGGATAGTCAGTGGTTCCCCCAAGCAGTCCATTGTGGGAAATGGGAGTACAAAGTACCAGCCCCAGGTGATCTCCACCCCATACTTCCCTATGCCATATCCCCGCGACTACGGAATCGAGCACATCCTCACCTGCGAGGCGGACAACTGCCAAGTGCGCTTGGACTTCACCGACTTCCAGCTGGGCCTCGCCTCCACTTTGGAGATCTTCGACTCCAATGGCCAGATGTTGGACTCCTATACGGGTGAGCACTTCCGTCCGCCCATCACGGTGAGCAGCGGCAAGTCGCTACTCCTGCAGTTCCGTGGAAATTCAGCCACAGGAGTGGGTTTTCGAGCCGAAGTTAGTTTTGTGTCGTCCAAGCAGCTGAAGGACGAGCGACTGGTGCCCTATACAGGTGAGTGTGATTGATTCAGTACACTGAAAAGAAAACAGAAGTTATAAACTGGGGGAATAAATCAAAGAAAAACTAAAAAAAGATGTTTTACAGAATGTCGATATCTATTCAATATAATTACTATACACTAAAAGGTTAGGATAACATTTTTGATTTTTAACACGTTTCGAAAGTTTAGTAATATATACGTTATAGAACTTAGAAATCTAAAGGTTAAAAATTTAAAAAGGCTATAAAAAGGAAGCTACAAAATTGGTACTAACATGGTTTTTTTTGTGTAGGAATAGGGACCTCTGAATAATTGCCGGATAAGCCGGACACTTGAAGGTCTGCAGGCAATTGTCATATTGATTTTGGCAGTGGGTGGTGGGCTCTTGACGAATATCAATGTCATTGCAAGGCGTTGAAGTGGAAACTAGGTGACACTCTGGATCTGGTTAGTTCTGGTTCGGTAAGACAATCGATTTCTTGGATCATTGCTTAAAGGGTGGTGGCGCCACCGCTCATATATAAGCTTCAAAGGGGTTGGATGGGTTATGCATTGTTGAGGCCTGTTGGTCCGGATATAAAAATTCATTTAGGGAAACCATTGTGCAAAACCACTGAAATAAATAGCTATAGGCTGCATAATACCAGGGAAATAAAAATAGGTTAAGCAAAATATGTGTAATAATCTTAACTAGCATTTGGGCAAAATATATGTAATAATCTTAAGTAGCATTTGGGTACTACATATTATTAGGATTATGATTAATCATTTCAATTTTTTATTCCTTTTAGATTGTGGGGGAATGGTCACCGGACCCGGTGGCGCCATCACCATGATGAACATGATCGAAAATGCCACAGACGTACGGCTCTTTGACTGCATCTGGATTATCAAGCCCGGCAACAATTACATGATGATGAAGACCCACATCTCCCTGCGGGTGGACGACTTCTACGGAATGGCCGCCCGTTCGGAGCTAACCATACGGCAGGGCACCACCTCGGATGCCGTGGAGATCGAAAACGTGATGTGGCCGAACAACGGACTGAGCAAGGAGAGCCATGTGGCGCCCATCCTCAATGGCTACTACATTCGACTGCGGGGGGTATTCGGGATGTCCTCAAAGCTGGCCATCGTCTACAGCGTCTTCAACTATTTGAGTGAGTACAATTCAAAATTTGGAAGTTCCTATAGGACTATAGTCCTGAAATACTGCATTTAGGGTAGCAAAAGCTAAGTTCAAACGATTTCAATTTGAGAATTGGACTTTATTCGAGAAAAAAAGTTCTTGAAATCACGACGCAATTATTCTCAATTTGGGTTTTCGATATGAAGTGTTTTTAAAACAGCAATAAAAGTAGATTCGATATTGTTTAACGAGACAAAACTAGTCTTCCGATTTTTTTTCGTAGTGTGCATATTAATAGTATTACATTCCTTTGGTTTAGATTGCTACATTGGCTCGGAGTTTCTGTGCGGGAACAACCACTGCATCTCTATTCGACTCCACTGCGATGGCTTCGATCATTGTGGGGATGGCAGCGATGAGCCGGGTTCTTGCGAAGAGGACTGGGCCCACCTTCACCACGATCGCCGCTGGTATTCCCACAAGCCCAACTACTACTTCCCCAAAATAGACCAGTATCCGGATCTCAAGACGGCCACGGGAATCTTTATCATCAGCACGCTGGGTATATTCGGAGTCCTCTCCGGCTGGATGGTAATCCTGTACAGGATGGGGGTGAGAGCACGCCACCAGCGAGAGCTGCAGAGTCACCTGCAGACGATCAGTGAGCTGCTGGATCGCCAGGACGAGGACCGCACGCCAGACGAACCTCCAAGCTATGAAGCGCCTCCTGACTACGAGGAGGTAATCAAGGTTGGCATGCAGCAGGAGCTGCGGGAGCCACGTCGCCAGCGACGCGCCCGTCGTGGTCCGCCTCGGGATCGAAGCTGCAGTCGCGCCCCCAGCAATTGCACCATGCAATCGGTACTCCCACTTCATCGCAGCTGCAGCCTGGAGAGGGATCAGGAGCAGCCCAGTACCTCGGCGGCGGCCATGACCCACGCGGTGGCTGCAACGGACACCACAGAGGATGCCGAGCAGGTCCAGACGATGGCCCAGCGGATGCTTCTCGCCACGGCTATATGTGGTAGGTTGTCGGGTTCCCCACACCCCAATCCCCATCCCGCCCTGCAGTCGCTAACTTACCCACAGAGTCCCACTTGCAGGCACTGCAGTCACGTCTCTCCCGGCAGCAAAGGAGCCTGCGATCCGGCTCAAATCCGTGGGGATTTCAGCGGGCCCGCCACCGCTATCCGCTGGGGGTGAACTACCCACAGCCGGTGGGCCAGCCACGACGCCCGGTAGCACGGCAGATGAGTGCACCCAGGGAGGCGACTCACTCAGCATTTCACTCACTCTAGGCCTGCCCTCCACGACAACCGAGAGCACGGCGACCTCCGACCAGAACCAATACCAGAATCAGGGTCTGGATCAGACCAGCAGCAACTGCACGGAGCACACGTACCTGAAGAGATCGTGGCTGGTGGTGCAACAGGTTCCGCCTGGAAGGGGTTACAGGGTCCGGAGGCTGCGCCACACCTTCTCTTCCCCCGAAGCCTTTACTGGCGATGAGCTGCAGATGCCGTACCCAGATTTCCTCAGCTACGGCACCAATCTTCCGCATGAACGGAGTAGCAGTAACTTTGGCTCCGAATTGTCGAGGGACCCATCGAGTTATAGTGTGGGAAAGCGAGCGCGCTTAACCGCCGAGGACGCAAGTGAATCGGAAACCATTACCAGGGAGCTGGAGCACTCCAACCAGACCCTTCAGTCCCATGTGATAGCGGAGACTCCTTCGAATCACAGCGAGAGTGAGAGCGAGGGGGAGCAGAAGGTTTCCTGCTTTGGTGCCGTGGCCCAGCGACCCAAGAGGCGACATCGCAGTCATGTGAGGAGCCGTTCCTTTAGCAATGCAGGTGGTGGCAGTGCCGGAAGGAGGCGTCATATCCAGCGCAGCTCCTCGGCTGATCTTTTGATGAACTATGCCACAATGGCGGTCTCGACGCCACAAAAAAGATCCGAGGGTATGCAGCGATTGTTCTTCATTTAAGCGGGGACTTAAGATTGGGGTGCGAGTTAGCGAAACGATAGTATTAAAGCCTGGTGTGATTCTGGTCGGGATCTAGTCACCCTTAAATAAACCTGTTCCTTATTCAAAAGGTATTAACTTGTTGGACTTGAAATTGTTTTAAAGTAATGTTTCAAGATTTCTAAAATTATTATTTCCAACTCTAACAAGTTAATCTGGATTGGGAATTGGTTTCTACGTTTGTATTCTATGTTATATATACCACAGCGTAAAATAAATAATTATTTAGCTTTTAATTGGTTACTTTATTCATTTATAGCGTTATACGTGTAGCAATAGTCAGTGCAAGTCAACCTGTGCCCCGCATCAGGTCATAAAACAACAACAAAGCTTCCCCGCCCAAGTCCTCTGAGATACACACCCATCCACCAACTGATCAAGGGCACATCTTGACGAGCACTGACTTTCGGGTGCCTCAAAGGTGCAAAATAATAAAAATCTATTACTCGCGTATATATGGAAATCAAAATGCACATTTGTATATGTATATATAGACGAATATGATAAATAATACCAAGGCGTAGTCAATGCCGTAGGTCTGCCTGCTATCCAGATCCACCTACGTTGTATCTGTGTGTTTTCCGGACCGCGGATCCTACTGTTGCAACTGCTGTTTGAGATTCTCTGCGAGGGATTTGCCCGTGTCCAGGGGCACCACTATATTGCGCAGACTGTCGATGCTATTTCGCAGCTTGGTGGCCTGGAATTTGCTGGGCAACTTAGGTGACCCTCCCACCGAGGCAAATGCAAAGGTCTTGTATTCCTGGGCAGCCGTCCAGAAGGATCAAAAAAATTGGGTTTAGTTTACTATTCTATATATAGGTAACGGGGTTTTATTTGCAACGCAAAATATCAATAAAATCATAAGCATGGGAGCTAACAGAAACAGCAGGAAGGTTCAATGCCTGCGAAGAGTCGACTAAATAAAGATTCTCCATATGTGTATGTCATGGTGTGTGAGGGTTAGCGAGTGTTTAAATTATACAATGATAAGTAATGGTTGGGTACTCCCAGAGAGCTTAAAGTATTTCGACAACATTCTTGGAGCTCAGCTCTCGGGCTGATTACCCATATCTTAATTATAGAAATTATACATACAAAAACTTAATATAATGAACTGAAAAAAATATCAGATAGTTGACCGGATCACTGGTCCCTAAGTTACCTGGTTGCCGCTGGGGGAGCTGGCCTCGCTGAGAGTCGTGGGCGCCTGGCCCATGTAGGACTGGAATGTGGGCGTCGGTCCGCCACTGCCATTATCCCGCTGGCCACCGCGCGTTGTTACCTTCTCCTGCAGCGAGTTGAAGGTCTTCGATAGCCAAGGCTGCCAGCTATTGCGGTTCGTCTGCAGTTCACTGAGCGTGTTGCTTAGCTGATGGTTAAGGTCCTGGTTCTTGCATTCCGCCTCCACCTGAGCAAGTTTTGCCTGGGCCAACTCCAACTCCAGTTCACGGATGCGCTGCGAGGCTGCGTTGAGCGGATCAAGCGGACCCAGTGGGTGCTCATTGGCATTCCGCATGGCATCTGTCTGCCGCCTAGTGTTGCCGCCATCTGACTTGGCGTTGTCATTGCTGGCGTCGATCTTCTGCTGGCAATCCCGGCAGTTGGAAACCATGTGCTGAAAATAAGGGGGCAAAATGAATACTCTAAAGTGAGGAATGTCTTTCCTTAAGCACTTACCATCACTTTGCCCAGAGTCTCGCTAAGCGTGTTCATGTCCTGCTCCTGGCGCTGTATGATTTGTTTGTATTCCTGTATAATGCCTGTGTGCTTCTTCTCCTTCTCCACAGCTCGCTCCTTGGCGGAGATCAGTTGCTTATTGAGCGCATCAATGTCGGCCTGCATCTTGCGCCTCTCCTCGCCGAAGCGGTTCTCATAGATCTGCGCCTCCTTCTCCAGACGCTCCTTGTGTTGCTTTTTCAGCAGGAACTCCTCCTCGTACTGCTTCAACTTTTTAATCTTACGCTCGCAGGCTTGTTTCATCACCTTGCGTGCCTGACTGGAGCTGCGGCACTTCTTTGGCAACGTTACGCGGAAATACTTGAGAATGCCCTCAAAATCAAGCTGTCGTAAATCCGATTCGCAGATTGACAGCAGGGTGACGGCCACCTGGAAGAGCACAGGTAGCCCGTCCAGCAAGAAAACATCCAGTACGTGGAAAACGAAGCACAGCGGGAATCGGGCTGTATACAAGGTTAGGAACCACTGGGAGGCGTACATGTGCGTCTCAATGCCGCAGGCTGTGAAGTGCTCGTGCAGCTTGGGCAGCTGGTCCTTGATCAAACGCTCCAGTTGGTAGAGACGCAAGTAAAGGACTTCGAAGCCCGCCTTGTAGAGATCGCGCAGCCCGTAGTCATACATTAGGGCCACCAGAACACAGAACGCATCCTCCTCGGGCATCTGGAAATGAGTTTTGAAGATGTTAGTATACTTAGCACATAGCAAAATACTTTCTTAATTACTCACATGAAGCAGCAGACTGGCCGCAATAAAACTCAGACCCTGGCAATAGCCGACCTCACTGTCATGAACCGCATACGCCTTGGACACCTTGAAAAGAGCGTCCTGACCAGAGCCACCAGTCTCTTTGAAGCATTTGTGCGCCGGGAAAGTGCGATGGATATCCCGTTGGATAACGGTCTCACATTTGGTTTCCTGCAAGCAAGTATTCAATTAAATTCGTTCCATAAGGAACAGCTAACCACTTACTTTGGTGATTAGGATCTTGTACATGTCATTCATCTCCAATTTGCCCTCGACATTGGCCAGTTTCTGCCAGATCTTTTCACGCAGCGCCTCTGGAACTCCAAGGCGAACCAAGGGCGCCAAGTTCTTCGGCCTCTTCTCGCCGTCCCACTCCCGCAGAATGGGATCCCACTCGTCCAGTGTGTCCTGCGAGCAATCCTTGGACACTTCACCAGTGCCGCTAAGCAGCGGTTCATCCCCATCGCTGCTGTAATCCGAGGGGCAATCATCCTCAATTGAGGCAATGGACGAACTGCGCACAATGCGCGATAGATTATTCATGCCCATCTTGAGCAGCGAGGAGCTCTGCTGGTTGCCCGGCTGCTCCGTGATCTCCTCCGAAGGGTCAATACTGTTGACTTTCCAGTTGGACTCGTCGGTGCGCTTAAGGTGCAAATAGAAACGCAACGTCATCGGCCGCTTCGACATGAAATGGTCCATAATACGCATTTCACTGGCCGACTGAATGGTCACTGGGGTCTCGATGACGAACCTAACCGGTTCTTGGATGCGCCGCATCACAATGTCCACGGCCACGGTAAGATTGGTCTTGGACGACTCAAGATTCAACTGCTCAAAGGCCTTCTCCTGAGCTTTCCACTCGGCACGGATGGTATAGGGCCAGGCGGAGTTTGGTTGCGCATTGCTGTCTGATTCGGTAGCTACTCCTGCTCCACCTGGGGCAACGTAGCCCATGCTGTGCATGTCAATCAGATGCATGTCCTTTTGAACCACCAGTTTACCCGGGGCCACAAGGACGCCAAAACATCGTTCGATATGCAATGGTTGAAGAATATTCGACGGAGTCTGTTTGACAGTGATGCACACCTCCTTATCTGTGTTTGCCCTAAGCTTAAAGCATCCCCTATCCCGAGGAACTGCGGCAAACGAGTTCTTCGCCACCCTCTCGCGAATCTCCAATGACACTATGAACTCATACCCGGCCGTATTCAAAGGGTTTCCGCTCAAATCCGAGGTTACCGAATTGGCCATCTCGACGGCCGAATTGAGGCTGCAAGTCATACTGGGCGGATAAGTCTGGAATGCCTTCTGAAAGCAGGCTGCGATGGATTTAAAATAAACCACTGGATGAAATCACTCTTAGGCTAAGTTTACGAACTGACTCACCGCTGACTTGATTGACCGCCTCGGGAATATGGCACCGAAATACATGGCACTGGAACAATGCGTCGCCGTGCAGCCAAGTGAATGCAAAGCAGCCGTTCTCCACGGTGTCCACTGGACCTCGATAGTACAAGATTATGCTGGATATCTCATAGGTGGCAATAATCGTATTGCTTTCCGCATCGTGGAGGCTGTAATAGGAGCATTCTGGGCGTTCAGTGAGTCACTTGTGGGGCAGTGAAAACTTTACTCACACCACCAGGCCATCGGAGCAGTTGGGAATGCTGACGGTGATCTTCAGACCCACCGATTTCGATCCACTATTAAGTTCACCCATGATGCGATAGACCTCCGTCTCGGATTTGGGGGCATTGATGTTGGCAGCTCCCAGGTAGGTGACTCCGGAGAATATGGTGCAGCCCTGATCGATCTCTGAAACTGGGACAGTGAGGAATCTTTGTTAATTGAAAGGTCAAACTGGTTGTTAAGGCAACCTATTGTATTTCGTTAAGATTTCAGTAATAGATGTGTAAAATTTTAAAGTGAACTAGGAGCTTTTGAGTTTTTTGCTCTTAATAGATACAAAACTTTGTAAGTATTCGAATTTTCTGATGTAAACTGAACTAAGTGGCCTACTTACCCTCCTCGTCGGTGGTATCACCCTTCTCCGGCTTCATGGCATCCTGCTTCTCCTCCACGCAGGCGGGACTGGCGTCTATGCAGTCGTAGAACACCGAGTGACCCACTCTGTTCGAGCTGGAGGCATCGTCCAGGGTCTCCTCGCTCTTGGGCGAGAACAGGGTGCAGGGGAAACGCATCTCGGGATCGGCAGATCTCCCGCCGGAGCCCGTAAGCGGCAGCGTTAGGGACTTTTGCTGGTGACTCGGGAGACGTTGCGCTATCTTCTCCCCAGCGGCAGCTGCAAATATGTTAATTGTCAATTACGCGGCGAGCAATAACAAGTAACGAATTATGCGGAATTTTGTTTAAGGAAAGTATTATAATTCGGTTTGTTTGTCGATTGTTTCCATGACAGCGTAGCACTGCGGCGCTGCGCCGATAAGATTGCAGCTGGTGGGCTTACATAGCAATCGCTGGGTGTTTCCAATTTGGGAGCGACTGCGACGATGTGTGCACAGCTGGCGTTGGGCAGCAACTGAGTTTTGTTAAGGGAACCAGGGGCAACCCAATCCACCCTCTCAGTTGTGGTTCTCTACTCACCTACGCCGCGTTCCAACTCCAGATCCCTCAGGGCGTCCGTCATCTCGTGCTGCATGTCGCTCAGGTTGCGATTGTGGGCCATGTCCAGTGTGGGTGAGCGATCTCCTCCAGCTTCCGGGGAAGACAAGGCCAGGGCACTCAGAGAAGTGGGTGGCTTGCCCGCCACCTCCGGCTTGATCCTCTCCTGGTTGACCACCACCTGCTTCACCTGCTCCATGGGACTGGCCATATTGCTGTCCGTGACTATTTCGTACTCCCCGCTGGTCGTTATCGAGGATTCCGAGGACTTGGTGCTCAGATTATCATCCATTCCGAACGCTCAAGGTTGGCTCAGGTCCGGGGACTCCAAAATGGTTTCGCTCTTTGTTGTGTGCGAGTGGTGCGTTCTGATTTTCTTTTATCGTAAGCCCTATGAATTGCGCATTTTCAGGGCAGGTAAACAAATCAATTTCCACTCCAAGGCCGCGCACTCGCTTTTTATAGATTTTGGTTTTAATTTGTCCAATTTTTCAACGGAGTCGCATTGTTTGGCTTGGTTCCGCCGTAAATCGATGACGAATCGGTACGGTTTTGTTGGGTTTTTGGGGGCGTACACACACGCGCATGTATGTCACACGGCGCCCACTTCGCGGGGGGGTGGGCGTGTTTAGGGTTGGTGGGCGGTGGGGTCGGCGGGGTCAACAGTTTGCTGCAGTCGCCTTTGCGTTCGGATTCCTATGGATTTTTCGTTAACTAAAGTATCTGTAGGTGTTTTCCGTCCACACTGTGGTTTCTATTTTATGGCCAACACTTTGCGGAACTGTATCACATCGCTTTGACCCAGTTTTGTTGTGTTTTTCGTGGGGCTTTCAGCTATTTTCTTGCAATTTTCCCACTGTTTTGTTTACATATTTTTCAGCTAGTGGTGGTCGATAGGCAGCTACGGATATCGATAGCGAACAGCTGTCTCGCGTTGTACAATACTACTTGTTAAGAGTGTTGAGTAACTGCTGTTTCAAGGAGATCAAATATTTTCAAAAAATAGGGGGATTCTAAGTTAAGAAAATATATAGTTTGCATTTCAATAAAAAACGTTAGAGTAACATTGCTCTTAACTGTCAAATTCATTTGTGGGGCACCATTTCCATGTCTAATCGTTTAAACAATTTGTATAGCTTTGTGAAACATTCTTCTGTAAATAAGAAAATAATTAATTCAAGATAAATATTAAAAAATATTTGTCCAAGAACATTTTTGAACCCGTTGCTCGTGCCTATCGAAATTGTAACATCTCCAACGCAGTGCCAGTGTTGGCTAATGAAATACGCTGCCCTACAACACTACCGCGCGTGCTGGAAAAAAACGTGCGCGTTCGTTCGTCGCATTTTTGTGTAATAATTCCTGAATTCCGGGTACTCCCGCCTCCGAATCCGACTCCCCAAAGATGTGGCCGCGATTTGGCATCAAGATTGGCAACAGCACGCTGTGCATCGCCCACGTGCGCGCGGACGGCAAGGCGGAGGTGATCGCCAACAAGCAGGGCGACCGAGTGTCCCAGGCATGCCTTCTCTGGGACGGCGTCTCGGAAATCGAGTGCGGGCTCACGGCCAAGCAGAAGATGGCCACGCGCCCGCGCCAGGCGGTGGCCCACAGCTTCCAGCTGCTGCAGCCCAAGGAACAGATCACGGAGGAGAAGCTGGCCAGTGCGCTACGGGAAATCCCCTGCGACTTTGACAAGGAGGAGCTGGTGTTCCGCATGGAGCACACGGTACCCTCCGAAAAGGAGGACCAAGATGATCGAGTCGTTACCAAGGACCTCAGTGCCTACCAGGTGACGGTGGAGCTGCTGCGCGCTGAACTGGAGCTGGCCCACCAATACCACACGGACGGGGAACAGGCGCCCATTGCCGTCCTCTCCATACCCAGCTACTATCCTGCCCAGGCCTACAAACTGCTAGCGGAAGCAGCCGAAACCGCAGGCTTCCACGTGGCCCAGATTATCGCCGAGCCCACAGCCGCCGTTCTAGGTTACAGCATCGGGGAGGAGCAGGCGGAACAGCGCCGTCATGTGCTGACCATCAAGTGCGGTGGCCTGTACAGCGACTTTGCCTTATACGCCGTGCAAAACGGACTGTTCGTTCAGCTGGCCACTTTTGGACCCTTCCCCATTGGCGGCCGTCAGTTCACCGAGGCCCTGGTGCAGTTCATCTGCGAGGAATTCCGCCGCAAGTATAAGCTGGATCCACATGAGTCGCGTCGCTCGGTGGCCAAAATCCGCACCGCCGCCGCCAACTGCAAACACATCCTGACCACGATGCCCTCCACGCAACTGTATATCGACTCCCTGATGGACGGCGTTGACTTCAATGCCCAGATGTCGCGCGCCCGCTTCGAGAGCCTCATCCAGCCGGTGATCAACAACCTCATCCAACAGCTGGGCGAATGCGTAGAGCAGGCGCAAAAGGAGCATCCCAGCCTGACCAGCATAGATGACATCGTGCTTCTGGGCGCCACCATGCAGATCCCCAAGCTTCAGGCGGCCGTGGGAGCCCGCTTTCCGGACGCCAAGCTGCACAACAGCCATTCGGCGGACGAGGTGGTGGCCATTGGGTGCGCCCGCCAAGCCAACTGCTTGATTGAACCTCTCGAACAGCAGCTGCACAAGGACGACGACTGTGTGGTTTCCGAGGATGATCTGTACATCTGGCACGGCAATGACGAGGCCAACGCCAAGTTGGTTCTGGGCAGAGGGAGTGTTCTGCCCGCCAAGATAAGAATATCACTGCCTCGATCTGAAGAGGGAAAGGGTGACGAAGAGGGCAAGGGAGCCGCTTCATTTAAGCTGCGCACTGGAGAGAGCGAGATATTGGCCCGCCTGCCCGATAGCACGACGCCGGAGGATGGCCTCTATCAGCTGGAGGTCGAGGTGGACCTGGACGATAAGGACGGCAACGTGGTGCCGCTGGTGCGACTGCGCTGCATGTGAAAGCCGGAATTTGACCCGGATCCTGTGCGCTGTCGCCTAGTCTATTTATTGTTGCTAGCCTAATGATTACAATACAAACACAAAATAAAGATAAATACGAAAGCGGCAAACGAAAACACGAGTGAATACTTAAATATTTAACCATTTTTATTTTATTATCTTACCTTTTAAATTATAATATTCAAAACTGCAAGCTAGCTGACTTCTGGCTGCGCTCCAGTTTGCGCAAAAACTCCTCAAAGACTACCACACCCTTGAACATGCTAGTCTTCTTGTGATCCTTGATGCGGCTCTTGTCTTCCGGGGCCTCCATATAGCTCTTGCTCTTATCATCAAAAGCGTTGATTTCGTGGAGCAGCTGTGTGATCGTGGGCACCGTGGTGGGGTCGAACTTGGCCACAGCACTCACACTGAATGGAACACAAACCTTTCCCGTAGCTGGATGTATGCAGAACGGGGCCTTCAGTAAATGGTTAAATCCCCTGGTGACATTGATGTCCAAACGAGGATAGAGCAGTCCAAGCTGCACTTCCTGTACTATGTTCTTCAGCTTACGGCTCCATGCATTTGCCGTAGAGGTTCGCATGGAGTTGGCGTACTTGATGAAGCTCTCCCACACCAGTCGCGAGTGGGCTCCATCCTCCAGATTCTTTTGCAGATACGATTCCAGTTCGCCCCGTGCCGGATCATCGTGGACCATGTTTACTAGCTTGCTAACACCCTTTGGTGTGCCGAACAGATTCTGATCTTCCAGTATGATCTCCTCGAACATGGGCTCTGCTATTTTCAAGGCTCTCTTTAGGCTGTGATGCGGGCGATCTCCCATGGGACATCTGGGCGAGTTGCTGCCCGAAAAGTTGACATAAGATATGATGTTCAGGTACTCAGCCACCGCAAAACGACCACGCCCATCCAAATGGCGAGCTTGATGGTCGCATACCCAGCAATGGATACCTCGCCGACCGGAGAAAATCCATATAATATGCTCAAAACCAAAATCCTCCCGTAAGGCCACGTCTAATATCCTGGCAGCCAGCACCATGAACTTCCAGCACTTAAGGCACACCCCTGCTCCAGAGCAACAGGTGCGCACATCGTCGTAATCCGTCATGTCAATATCAAAGACGAGCTCACGTTGCACGGGCGTTAGTCCGCCAGGAACTGTGCGATGGTTCTTGGGTCTGGTGTGCATCACTGGACCTATATCGATCTTAACAGGATTCCTCGAGCAGATCTCCTTTTCCAACTCAGCTTGGCTCTCAAAGCACAGGTAACGAATGTAGATGTCGTCCTGGAGAGTAAAGGAAATCTCACGATTGCAAAAGATGCCTTCTTCAGCTGGAAATAATGAAAGTTAAAGGATATTTAAATGGATTGTACTTGGGTACACTTACTCAGCCCATAAGAAAGCCACCGGTAGAAGGGCTGGTGGGGAAAGAGGCGTCTGTAGTACACGGGCAGCATGTCCTGCAGGACCTCAGGATTATAAGCGGGCACAGCTGTTGTCTGCTGCTGCGGAGCCTGGTTCTCCTGATCTGCGGCTTGTTCGGGCATTTTAAGAAACTGAAATAAATACGTGTGTTCTATAGTTACTCAAGATACGAATCTGAACATGTTTATAGAATTCCGGCCTTACAAAATTAAAAACCCATCAAACTTCTTGTCGAAACCTTATATTTATATATTTTTTTGTTGATTTTTTTCTTTTTCAAAGAGAGATACACGATTGAGACTTAAAGTACTGAAATATATTAACGACATGCAATTGTTAAAAGTACGAGGCTAATTAATTGTCAGTTATGGGTCGAAACAAATCGAATCGAGCTAACACAATGGAATACCGCAGAATGAACCTGGTCAGTGAGTTCGTCCGATGATTGGCTTAGCTTACGATGGAAATCTACGTGTATCAAGTATATATATTACTATATAATATATGTGTCTACTTTACGGCTAGGTTAGATCATTGTTGTAGCTTAAAGATTAGAACACGATGCGTGGGCGTTCCCTGGTTCAGCATCATGGAGCAGCGAAGGGTGCCCAATATTCCGCAGATATCTAGGCCACTGTGAGGCGAATGTCCTGCATCTTGTGCTGTTGCCAGGAGTGAGCCGGCTGCCTGGGCGGCGCCGTATTGTAGAGCGTCACCGAGGCGATGTGGCTGTTGGGCATCACTTCGAAGATTAGGTCCTGGTAGCCATAGCAGAAGGTGGAGCCGAACGGATTCGCCGTGTTCGTCGAGCTGGCACGATGCAGCACCACTGGCCGCTCTGAGGTGGCCAGCGCGCTACTGATCTCATCCCACTTCGTGTAGGCGCTAATGTTAACGTGTTCTTGCTTTGTGGGCGTCACCAGATCATGACCGCTATCGCTCATCGAGGGGTGATCGGCCTGCAGCAGGAACTGGAACTCGCAGCGATGGTACATGTTGAAGTTGAAGTGACCCGGGTAGTTGGTGTGCAGTATGAACTTTTTGCAGGTCTGCGTCCTGGCATCAAACAGCACATCGATGCCCAGCGTGAAATAGTTGAAGAAGATGTCGCTTCGCTTGCTCTGCGCCTGTCGATTGACACTCGAGCTGTGTATCTTCATCTTGTCCTCACTCTTGAAGAATATACGATTTGGCGCTCCCAGACTGGTGGCCACATCCTCGCAGCTATCGCCAAAGAGTAGTTCCCGCGTAAAGCACTGGCGGCGAGGCTCCAAAGCTCTGCCCGAACCCTCCGTGAAGAGCTTCAGCTTCAGGCCCTTTGTGTGACCAAACGAGGTGCGCAGAACGGTGGCCGATTCCAAGTACATCTGGCGGTGATAGCAGGCCAAGGGCAGAGATGGCGCCTTGTTCTCCGCCACATTGCTTCCCGCATAAAGGGACATCTTGGACACAACGGGCGAGGCGCCATTTAGAAAGACCAGGGAGCCCAGTCCGTGGGCATAGCCCGAGTGAAGCTTGCTGTCCACGGGGAAGTAGAAGCTCAGCCCTCGGAAGTGCAGAGCAAAGAGCTGCTTGGCTGCATCATAGACCCCGGGATGGGTGGCTCCGAAGGAGTGCTCTATCTGCTCGATGCTGGGCAGCACCTCCGGGGAGTTGAAGTAGACGCCGCCATAGCGCAGTTTCACCAGCTTCATGTTAAACACCTCGATGGTCTTTAGGCGCTGTATGACGGGATCGAAGATCAGGCGCACGCCATCCTGCGGCAGGTTGATGATGATGTCCACGCCCAGGGGATTGGTGTCGGAGTACAGGACCTGGACTCCCTTAATGATGCCCACCTGCGACTGGATGATGGCGATGGCCTGCGAGAAGTGCATGCCCAGCACGAATTCCCAGGCATCGCAGCCCAAGGAGTTCTCCGGCAGGATCTCCAGGTCGAGCATTTTGCCTGTTTTTCAAACGATCTTTGCTTGTTATTGTTTTGCGCTCTTGGATCGCCAACCTACTGACCTTGATATGTGAAATCAGTTGCGGTTCGCGAATATATTTAAACGAATATATACGCAATTGATGGCCAAGTGTATTTGGTGCTATTATTTCAGCACTTTCTGTTTTTCAATTGTTTGCTCTCGAGTTCTTCAGTTTTAGGTTCTTACGCCTTTGTTTATTTTTATGCAATTACGCAATGTCCGTGATTATGTTTAATTTGTGGGTGTTCAACTACTTGTCGTGCCTTTTGGCGCAGCGATAAATTGTATTGTTTTCTTCTAAAAATTCGGACAAAGGCGAAATGCGCAGCAGAAAAAATGAGATAATAACAAAGTAATGGCGTTGCCAGACCGACGCGGGCAGCTGATTTGCGAAATTGCAAAACAAATAGGGTGTGGTTTTAACACTTAAGTAATATTATTTTTTAACTAAATATTAGTACTGCCAACTAAATAAGTGAATAACATAGTTATTAAAGCTACTTAAAAAATATTTCATGTTATTGCTTAATTTATTCACATTAGCTGGCAACGCTGGTTGAGCAAGCAACAGCTGTTGCTGTATTTTCGCGCGCTTTTTTTACGCTAGTCAAATCGAGTTTTTAAACTTACTTTTTGGCTTTAATTGGAATGTTTATATTGAGTCCACAGCTTTTTCTGGTTCCAACGAGGTTAACGCTTCACTTAAACTACTTTCAGCTTTTAAATTGCGTTTAATTAGTCAGCACTTCGAGTTTTTGTCAGACGACTCCCAGCACCGTGCCTGTAAATAACAACTGATTTTCGACGACTACCAACACTACAGATTTAGTGTTGGTAAACTAAAGATTCAGGCATTTGGCGGAATATGGAATATTTTTGTTTATTACAGCCCACTTTTCGCTTAAATCTATAAAAGACATATAAAACCATCACTTCAACAATATTTCTATCTATCAGACACTTTGGATTCCACCTTCAGGACACGTAGAATCGCATTTGGGACAGACAAAACTGGCGTCCGTTAAAAGATTGGCGCTCAGACAATAATAACAATAGATGTGGCCACAGCCCATGTGGTGGGGCAATGTGGGTCGTTCCCCGCAGAAGGTGCAGGTGGTGCTCAGGGTCATCTGCGGGGCCAGGAACGCCACACCATCTCCTCCAGCCTCCAACCGGCGTCCGGAAATCGCCTGTCCCAGGGCCGAGGATTTGAACACTCTTTGCAGCTTTCGAAAGTTGATGATGGGCAGTACCAGGCCAAGGATTTCCTGTAATAATCAGCAATATATAGAAGAATAATGATAGACTTGTCGGAATCCCACCATAAATCCTCCCCAGAGCAACTCCCTCGTCAGGTACTTGTAGCCTATGTCTCTCCTCTGATTGTTCCTCAGACTAATGTAGTCCAGTCCCAACAGGAAGTCCACCAGCGTGGGTTTCCGGCCCGTCTTCAGGAACCGGAAGTAGTTAAGGATGTTCAGCACCAGGGCACTGTTCTCCGCCCACGTTATTGCCTGGCTGAACCACTCCACCCGCCTGGTCAGACGCCTCTCCTCCCAGCTCTTCACATAACCCGGCAGGACGGTCAGGACGAAGTGGAGCACCAACCGCGAGACGGTCAGCTTCTCGGCATCATACGCCAGGACCAGAAGCTGCTGACCAAAAGTGGAGCACCGCTTGCCAACGGATCCAAACCAAATGGCGGATTGTATGATCAAATCTAGCTCCGGTTGGATTTTGATGAACAGAACGGGCTAAGGATTTATATTATATTATTAATAAGCCTAACAAGGTATTATCCATATACTCACCGAGATGGCCTGCAGGTTCTCCAGCAAATTATCCCGTATCAGGCGGGTAATGTCCTTGTTCAGATAGATGGCATCTATCTGGAAGGTAAACATATCTTATTTCCCATCTTTTAATTCATGAATATCTCTGTTTTCAGCTCACCTGATTTACACGTGGTACATATTTGTTTTTCTCTACCATTTTGTTTATATTCCTGCCTTGGGCTAGCTGACCATTGATATTTTATTTATTTATCTGTACTCTGACCTTTCTTATCAACAATTTATTAGAGATGTCATTTACAACGGCAATTTACTTTCCACTGTCGATATGTTTTTTCAGTGCTGGCTAACGATCTTTTAAAGACCGCTTAATTTTGAACTAGTCAGCTGAATATAGACATTTGTTTTCTAATTTATTTGTAATCAAAAAACAGCTAATATATCAATCACCCTGACAGCCTAAAGAAACTCCTGGTTTTTTAGACATTTAGGAAGCATTTTCGTCCAACTTTTCCAATACGACTTATGTAATTCCAATGAAAACAAAGCGAAACGAAGCAAAGAACTCGTTTTTGAGCCGGAAAATGTGTCTAACGACGTCTGTTGATTTGTGGCAATACTGCCTTTTTCGTCTGAAAACGCACAAACCAGTTGGTCAGTTGAGACATTTGGCCATTTGTTTGAGGAGTACAAGTTCAATGATTGGCCCCGGCTGCAAAAATTATGGTCAGTGGTCGGGTGGGTTTTGATTTTATAAAAAGTACATAATTCACACTTTATTACACAATTTACAATTCGTTCGTTCGATCTCTGTAGCAAGTTATACGAGAAGACATAAGTTTACATTACAGTTTATAGATTAAAGATTATAGTTTATAGTTTACAGTCGAGTGTGATTGGTAAATTCGTCTGAGCAGGTAGTGACTAAGGATCAGTTGAAAGCGGAAGATGCACGTAGAAATTATTCGCTATCACAGAATAAAATACAATATACAAAATGTTAATGAAATGGTCACGGACACATCTGGGTCAAGAGTTCCCGATTGTGGTCCTTGGCCAGGGTGTGTGTGCTGATGTCCTAATTACGAGATATGAAGCTGATTCCATGGTCGAGCGATGTGGATATGCTTGTCCCTCCTCCTAATCCTCATAATCCTCCTCCTACTTCCGGCTGGTGAGCAATTTGGCTAACTCTAGTGCGCAGCGAGACCTGGCTTAGTAGTGGTGCTCGTGCACTTCCTCGTGATGATGCACTGGGGCGGTCTTGTGGACCACAGCGTTGAAGCCATTGTGCTTGTCGGCGGTGTAGTCCACGGTGCGGATGGAACCATCGGGCTCCACCAGGGAGTACTGGCCCTTGACGGTGTCGCCATCGCGGGTCTCGTGCTGGGACTTCACGTCTCCGGTGTGGAAGTCATTCACTCCGTACTTGAAGGCGTACTTGGGAGGAGCCTGTGGAAGATTCGAAAAAAAATATTATTTTTATTTCTCGAGATCGGTTTAAAAAACTAGGATATTGATTTGAGTTCCTTAGTTTCGTATAGTATAGGTCTTATTCCTCTTTCTGTCTAAACTCACATAGTAGTCCACATGTTCATCATGTCCATGGGATTCGTGGGTCTCGTAGTGGGGCTCAGCTTCGTGGTGGCCGTGCTCCTCGTGCGAGATGCGCTCGATCTGGTGGTGTCCGTACTCGTGGACGGGCTCCGGTTCGTGGTGGGCCAGGTGCTCGTAGCCGTGGCTCTCCTCGTAGTACTGGTGCTCCAGCGGATAGGCGAGGCTCAGGCACAGGGCCGAGGCGAAGATCAGATACTGCAAGATCAGATAGTTGGGGGGATAATTAGCAACAGGGCTCAGACCTCGACTAATTGTTTCCGTTGTGGAGTTGCAAGTTCTGCAATTAGCGGTGGCCACACTGAGTGGCGGGAAAAGGAGGGGCATCTGCTGGCCACCGACTGTCGCTATCCATGTAATGACTGCTTTTAAGGCAAATTTCTGAGGTTTTCCTTTGGCTGGTCTTAATGAATTCACAATCAAGTGTTTGCTTTGGTTGACTGCCGCTTTTGTGTGGATTTATGTTTAGTGGTTTCTTTTGTGGTTTACTGGCTGACTGTTAATAAGTTGGTTAACTCAGAGGGAGTCTTATTTAACCAACGCAACTATTTAAGCTGTTTTTGCTATTTATAAAAATAATGAGCCTTAAGAGGGGTTTTTGTACGAATAATAGTTTCTTTGTGGTTTTAGGCTTTAGACTAATTTGCTTTGGGTGGTTTTGAAAGATCCTAATGACATTTACTATATAATGTATAAACAAATATTAGCTAGGAATTCTATTAAATTGTTCTTCTTAGAACTCAGACTACGATCCTTTTTGACAATTATTTTTTTTTTATATAGGTAATAATGATTAAAAATATTCAAAATCAAGCTTTTGACCTCAGAAATTAATAATCTTTAAAACTATAAAAAACAATATCACATCCTGAAACTAATATCCTTTTAAAGATCGCTGCTATTTCGATGATACACTTTCAACTTCATTCATCACCAATTCACATGTTTTTCATATATCACTTGATACACCGAATGTTTTAGTATATCCTTTAGGATAATTGGTTGTACAGTTTATTGTTCACATTCGATATCCTTAATCCTTGGCTGCTGCTGCTCACCTTGAAGGCCATTTTGGTTTGAATTTGAGTTCGCGATTTGTTTGGAGATCACTGGATGACTGCACGCAACGACTTTTCACCACTGAATAATGTAGTTGCAACGAAAATGCGCTGCTTTTATATGGTTAGGAAGAAAGTGAATCGGTTGGCGGCGGTGGTTCGGTGGTTCAGTGGATAGGTAGATAGGTGGCTTGGCATATCGGTGGTTCGAGCAGCGGTGGTCCGAGCAGCGACGTCGCCGTCTTTGGTGAGCGGAGCTTCTCTTGAGCCAAATGTAAAACAGTTTAGATGTGGTTGCCGCTTGCCATTGTTTGAGGTTTGATGTTTGCTGCCCCATTGCACTTAGGATAAAGGCTGGAAAAACGAATCAAAAATTTCTAACAATCTAATTTAAGAAAAAACGATTCAGTGAAGTAGTTATAACATAGCAGTACTGTCATTATAAATCTTATTAGATATTCAAAAACATAATAGTGCACTGCATTCATGACTACATTTCTTTCAAAATTACAAGTGATAAGCAATGGTTTCATAAGCACATTAAATTATAAAACATAGTGTATAGGGGTTGTTAAAATGACGAGTATTATTAAATTAACGCTTTTATAAATTGGAACCATTTATTTTCGAAGAACAAATGTTTGGTGTCGGTGTTGACAATTTTTAATATACTATTAAACTTTAAAAGTGTAAGGCCCTTATAAAATCTTTAAAAATAAAGTTCTATATTTCCAGAAATGAATAAAATTGGTTCATACAATTTAAAACAGTTTTAGTAAGTTCCTGATTGATTTTTTTCTCAGTGTTTGTTGTCCAGGACTCTTTGTGTGTCATTAGTGACGCATGCGATGGCGTTGATAAGTCGTCATCGCCGTTGCCGATCGACAGTTGCAACATTGCAGCAACCTCGCTGACAGCCCCTCTCCGAAGTTTGTTAATAATATTTCGGTATTTTCGCTTTGGCCAACTACCAGCCCATTTGCATTGCATTGTTGGTAGTTGGCTGCTCTGCAAGTACGCTCATTAAACGCAGTTTGACCCAATTTTCGGCCTGATGATTTTCGTGGCTGCTGCTGGGCAACTTTTTTGGGGCAACCTTCTATTGCGGCTAGCCTCCGGTTAATCGTTTACTTTTAATGCGCTGATTTTCGTAAATCTTAAATGGTAAATGGTAAATTGAATTGGGACTGCAGGCTGAGGCTGGCCCAATAAATGGCAATTTTGTAATATTTAATTGTTCGGGCATAAAACAGTAGTTTTATTTGCAGCTCGTTTTGGGGGTCCCACATACTTGGGCTGGCCTGTACTTCAAAGTTAAGTGCCACAATTGCGT